TGGAAACCAACATCAAAAGGTCCAAGATCCACCAGCACCATCCCTACATCACTTCTGCTCCACTTTTTTATTTACACTACCTCTTCGTTTGTCAATTGCCTCGAGCAGGCCCAAGTAACGTCTCCTTCATCCTAGCCCTGAGAATTTTTTAATTCTTCAGCAATCTGGGTTTTTTAATTTAAGGTTAAGAGGTTTTCATCACTCAATACCATCCTTCCCTTATTTTATCCACTAGGAGAATGATCATTGGCTCTCCTTAGACAAAGGACCTCTTATTCTCATTTGTTATGAGACATCCAACTAAAATTAGATAAATTCAAAATTAAATCATAGGAATGCTTTATGTGAGCTTCCATTTTTTCCCCCGAGACCCAACCATTGTTAAGCCCAATCAAATCACTTTTAAAGAAAAAAAGATGCATTTATTATATTGAAGCATTTTGAATTCAGTATCAATATTGTCACATTTTATAGTTAATTTGCTTTGAATGTATAAATATAAGTTTCTACAACTTCAGTTTCCATTTAAATTGTTTATTGAAATTTAGTACAATTCAACAATAAGTTTAATATTTGTTAAATTAATAATTTAATGATAAATTATTAAATAAGCAAGAATTAACAATTCCATTACATATACATGTACTACATGTATATATATACATATATATATTCTATAATTACATATATATGTACTCTATAAATATATGCATGTGTGTGTGTTTGTGTGTGTGTAAGGTAGGGAAAGAGGTAAATCAATGCAAAAACTAATAAAGATTGAAGGATATTCTGCAAGTATGTTTCATTAACACACATGAATTTTTCCAGAAAGTAAAGGTTAATTTCAGCTGGTCTAGATATATATCTCCATTATTTCTGACTCACGTGAAACTGGAATTTGATAACTAAAGATAAATTACTTGTCATTGCTTTGGATGTGTTTGTATCAGGTTTCAGTGGAGTCTAGAACTGGAGGGAGTAAAGTGGAATGGTTTTGAACAGTTCAGACTGTCCGTGCATCGAGGATATACATGACTGACTTTTTTGTAAGAAACACTAAAAGCAAATACTTTCAACGTCGTGGTACTCTAGCGCTTTGTACCCCCAGTCATCAATAATTTAAGACCTGTAATATTATGAATGGATTTAAAGCCATGGAATTAAACCACATTAGCCAGAATAAAATTAGTTCACAAAATTCTCTGAAATTTATAGTTTTGGAAAAGAATAAAATTCCAGAAGGGAGAATACAAAAGAAACAGCTCACTAGTTAAGAGAGAAAACCAAGGGGTTATCCAGGTTAGTTCTTCAAAAGAAAATAAATAATCCATTTCTAAAGGGCTGGGATGATCATGCTACCAAATAGGACTGAGAGATTGAGGAAACTGAACATAGCTTGTCAGGATAAATGTGGGTTCTTTAGTGGCCAGAGCGGTAATACTGCGGATGGGGCATTTGTCTTTCATTGTGGCTCTTTCTGAGTTTGCTCCCCAGGCATTCTGAATGATCACCTGAGCCCAGCCAGGAGTGAGCCCTGATCACTACCAGGTATGGCCAATTTTTTTTTCATGGTTTCTACACAGACATAGGTTGAACGGGAGTGGGTTATTAAGAGAATAATATTTGAAGTATTAGACACAATACAGATGTTTTTTGATAAATATCATCTAAGAGCTACCAGGGATTTTGAAGTGCACTCTTACGGATTGTTTTCAATTTTTTTAAGTGGTGGGAGGTAATTTGCCATAAACATAGCTTACACGTGATTACAAAATAAGGAAAATAATAAGGATTCAGTGAAGATGAAATAATTGCATTGTGTAAACTCAAGGCATTGAATGGAATCAAGACTACCCACACAGAATTTGGTAGAGGAATAAAGAATCACGTTGAAAACTTACTGTACTTTCAGACATAATAAATATTACAGCCCCAGATAAGTCTACTATTTTTTGTTTGTTTGGGAGCCATACCCAGTGGTGCTCTGGCTCTGTGCTTAGGGATCTCTCTTGCCAAGTTTCAGAGGACCATATGGGGTTCCAGGATGGTAGTGAAGTTGATCTGCATGAAAGGCAAACAAACAGCCTACTAGCTGATAGTCTCTGCAGCCCTTTGAGAAGTTTACTTTTTTGAACCTAATAAAGCAGCTCATTCATCTCATTATGATTTTAATAGTGGCTCTTCCTTCTATTTTTTTTTTTTATGGAATGATCATCTACTATCACCATGTGTAGTGGACTCATTCCATTAAAATGTCAGCTAAAAACAGTTTGAATTAACTGATTTATAATGTGGATAGTGAAAACTCTGAGACAATAAGTTTCGCACTGATCTAACCTTGTGAGAGAATCATAATTCATATTTCATATTTAACGTCTTTAAGCCTAGAGTGACAAAAAGAACATCTGATGCTGGCTAATTTGGGAGTTAAAATGCGGTTATAACTCAATTGGTTCAATAAGAACATATAAAGACTTTCTGGAGGAAATAGCATATGATTATCCTTTTTCTTCACTTACTTCTAATTTTTGTTTGCTTAGTGCAAAATCAAGTGGAAATCAAGTGGAAATCAAGTCTCGCACTACAAAAAAATTTACTGTATGGACATTTCACAAAGTAGGACATAAATATAAGTAATAAGTTAACAGTGCACTTAATTTTCAAAGACTAGGGTCTGGAGAAGTAGGGCTTATAAGTAGGGCTCTTGCCTTGCTCACAGACTGGGTTCAATCCATGTTCTTCATATCGATATCGTGTGCTTCATATTGTGTTCAATCATGTGCTTCCCCTGATCCCTGCCAGGAGTGATTGCTGAGTTCAGAGCAAAGAATAAGCCCTGAGGACTGCTGGTTAAACTCATCCCACACCCAGTTTTTTTCAAAGACTAATACTTAAAAATTCTTTCAAATTAGCCAATTAACTTTTTTTTTCTTTTTTTATTAGTGAAACACCATGAGGTACAGTTATAGGCTTACAAATTTTGTGCTTGGGTTTCAGTTATACAATGATCAAGTGCCCATCCCTCCACCAGTGCCCGTCATCCATCACCACGGGTCCCAGCATCCCTCCCACCCCCCATCCCCCCCCCCGTCCCATCCTGCCTCTGTGGCAGGGCATTCCCCCTTGTTCTCTCTCTCTTCTTTTGGGTACTGTGTTTTGCAAGAGAGGCATTGAGTGGCAATCATGTTTGGTCTATAGACTACTTTTAGCATGTCTCTCCCACCCTGGGAGGGTCCTCACAACACCCTTCATTTGGTGCTCTCTTCTCTATCTGAGCTTCCTTTTCACCTAGCACGTGTGGCTGGCCTTCAAGTCATGGAGCAAAATTCCTGGTACTGATCTCAGCCATTCCTGGGTGTTAAAAATATATATTCTCATAAAAGTACAGATCCAACTGTTCCTTTCAAGTGTCTTATATTTGGGCACCGTGTGCATAAACACTTAACAATAACATTGTACTCATTTATTGGAGTTTAGTAACCAAAATAATTTCATTTAAACCAAAACCTTTGGGGCTTGAAAAAATTTCATTTTAAAATTTGATTTATGGGGTGGGGGGGGATACTGGGATCATTGATGGTGGAAAATGAGCACTGGTGGAGGAATGGGTACTCGATTGTATGATTGTATGATTGTATGACTGAAACGCAAGCATGAAAGTTAGTAAGTCTGTAACCACCTCACGGTGATTGAATAAAAAATTTTCTAAAAATTAAAAAGAAATTCACTCTACCATTTAGTCACAGCCTTCTTCCACATATTTTAATTAATTCAAATCATTATAGTATATTTTTAATTTTCTCATGACTATTTTTCAACTTCAAAAGTAACTAAATTAACAGGCAAATTTGGCTGGAAAATTATAATAAAGACAGAAAACCTTAAATATGCCTAAGGAATTAATTTATTGAAATGTCTGGTTAGGAAGAAGATTTTAAAAGAAATAATAATAAGCACAATTTTACACACATTATTGCTATGTTAGTAGTATGTACTCAATAATGAACATTTATGTATGAGCTGAATAAAAATTTGGAAATGTAGAAATGCATTAAATTCAAATTAATAACATAATACATAAAATAAATAAAGGAGTACAATTTTATTTTCCATGTAGACTTATCTAAAAATTCTTATTGGGTAACATGATGCAAGATTGAGAGATGCCACATTTCCTGTTGTCAATTCTGTGAAAAAGAGGAACAAAATATAGAACTAGTTATACCATGCATTATATTTATGTATATTTCCCCATTTATAATTTTGGTCTGACCAGTTAAACTCAATATTGAGGCCACGTAAAAGTTTCTACAGGACAAAATAGCGATTACATGAGTTGATTTAGCAAAATGTTTAGTCTATAAACAAATATTTATATAACACAGAAAATTTGAGGGTCAAAATCATATAGTTTCCACAATTTAATCATTCAGCGGTATTAATTTTATTTTGAAGTGATGAAATATGATGTGCAAATTTTTAAAGAGTTAAGAATGGGGCCAGAGAAAACTTGTAACTATCTCACAGTGATTCAATAAAATTAAAAAAAAATGGGGCCAGAGTAACAGGACAGCAGATAGGGCACTTTATTGATTTATCAATTTATATTGATAAATTTTTGATGAATTTATTGACAAAGCCCAACAATTTTAATTCTGGCTTACTAAAATTTAGTTCTCTTTATCTAATTGTCAACAGACCAATTAATAAGAATTCCTGAAAGCATTTCTTCTCTAAACTCAGTTTCTTCTAAATCAAAAATCAGAATCTCTTTAGGTAGGTTTGGACATTAGGATTTTAGAAAATAAATTTTCTGGATTTTTCTATTTGCAACACAATCACTGTTGTAAATTATGTGCATTCAGAACCATGATTGTTTATGAATTCTAACTCCTCCTATATCTCCTTCTAATTACTATAAAACTGTAGTCACACATCACAAGTATAACAGCCAAACTGACTTACCATAAGGAGGTTGTAAACTAGGACAAGTGGCTGATTCACAGATAGAACATTTTGTGAGCACGATAGAAAAGAGGTTCCTGGGTCAGGGGAAAGGTCTGGAAGGGCATATATGTGTGGGTGTAGGGCATCTCTTGCTGAGGAGCAAGCAAGAATTTGGGTTGAGGAATGGTCAGCCAAGACTGAGGAGGGAACATGGGAATCTGAGGAATAGGCTGAGTGAACTGCTGCATCAGAGACTGGAACAGAGGGAGAGCAAAATGCAGGCTCTCGAGGTCAGTGAAGTTCAGGAACTGGTGTTCAAAAGAGGGTGCAATGGGAGATTTGGGGAAAGGCATCGCTTTGCAGTTAGAAGAGAAGGTCTCCTTAGCTTTGATGTTTTCCACTGTTTCTGGCTGGAAGGAAGAAGGCACGACAGCATGTTGAGCAAGAGGAAGGAAGTTCTGTGGAAAGGCAGTGTAAGGAAAGGGCATAGCATTAGAGTAGAATTGAGAGAGTTGCTGGAACACGGGGTGCATTTTATTCTGGTCTTCATCCTGGAAAAAAAGACAAAAAAATCTTTTAGTCTCTACTTTAGTTATAATTGGAACTCATGATGAATTAATTTATTTTTTAAATAACATAATTAGGTGATAAAAATGAGGATCACTGTCCTCCCATTGTTCATTGATTTGCTCCAGCGGGCCCAGTAAGGTCTCAATTGCGAGACTTGTTACTGTGTTTGGCATATCGAATATGCCACAGGGAGCTTGCCACAGGGAGAGCAAAATGCAGGCTCTCGAGGTCAGTGAAGTTCAGGAACTGGTGTTCAAAAGAGGGTGCAATGGGAGATTTGGGGAAAGGCATCGCTTTGCAATTAGAATGCGGGTGTGATACTCTCAGTAGCTTTCCAGGCTCTCTGAGAGGGGCGGAGAAATTGAACCTGGGTCCGCCATGTACAAGGCGAATGCCCTACCCCTGTGCTATGTTTCCAGCCCAAAAATGAGGAGATATTTAAATATGTAGTTAAGAAATATTTGGGATCCTGTAAAGACTATGAAAGGGTTATTGAAGGATTTCCCACGAACTCAGTCTTTCCATAGATGATTCAGCAGATCAAAACTGTGTTTGAAAGCAGTGTTCAGTAACGTCAAGAATTGTTTCACTTTTTTTCTGAACTTCCAGAATAACTGCCATTGGATACTTTGGTATTCAGAAGGCACAGACTTTTCAAAATAATTTGTTAATAGCCGGCCAAATTGCTTTCATACAATGAGAGAGATCTGTTTTAAAAGACTTAGATGAAGGCTTACATATATATATGTATATGTATATATGTATATATGTATATATATAATCCTCATATATATTTCTCATTTTCATTTTAGCAAGAAAGAAAAATGCTAAACTTACTTAGGAACAACGGATTTACAAATTAAAAAGTCTTTTCTTCTTAAAAGAAATTTCCAGAAGAGCTGGAATTTTTTGATTAATGGCCAATATATGTGAATGAATCAATTTTGACTAATATTTTTAAAATAAACTGAGTTTAAAAATAGTAATAGTTACAAAATTTTAACATTTAGCACCATTTTTGCAGAACTATTCTGAATAGTTGACTTTTTCCAAATTTTATCACATTTATAGGTAAAGGTAAAGGTCAAGGCCCTCCCGTTGATCGTCGATTTGCTCAAACGGGCCCAGTAACGTCTCCATTGGAGACTTTTGTTGTTACTGTGTCTGGCATATCGAATACTCTCGGTAGCTTGCCGGGCTCTCCGAATCACATTTATAATGCCCAGAAAAAAAAAATCACATTTATAATGCCCAGAAAAAATATATCATTATTTTCAAATTAGAACAGACAAGTATAAATAAATACTGTCCTGTTACTTTAAAAATAATTTATCTGAATATACAATTTTGACTATAATATGAAAATACTTTGAAAGTTGCCATTCTCTTTAGAAGGCAAAACCCAAATAAACTGAAATCTAATGATTTCTGGGGAAGGGGTGAGTTATTACAAATGAGTCGATGAGGCATATGTCAATCTTCAGATCTGTATACACACAAATGCAAAGAATCAAAGAGGAAGTTCATTTTCTTAGAAATTAAGACTAGTCTGGCTGAACACTTGAACAGTGTATTAAATGAATTGCTAGAATCTAGGTGTGGACTACCTTGAAAATGAGAAACTTAAAACTAGAAGACTACAAGTTTTTTTCTTGTTCTCAGAAAATTAAACCTTAATTCGTGGTAAACTTTTGGAGTTATTTCATTTAGCACTGGGAAAAATTCAACTGCTACTTCCCTTGGTAGTTCTCCTTTGTCAAAAGGCATCCATTTGTGAACTTATTTGGATTTTATAAGAAGTTAATGCATTTATATTTTAAAATAGATTGATTCTGCCATTGTTTAACCAGTTTATACATTAACATTATTTTATTACCATTTCTAAACCGAATGACTGTTCAACTATACTTATATTCACACATTTAGAAATGTATGCATCACAAATAAATTACCTCTTTGGGCTGTTGTTCCTCAAATTTAAGCTTCTCAATTTTTTCCTAAGAACAAATCACATATTAAGTAATGTAATCATCTGTAAACATTAAGTAGAAAACTTTGAAAATATGTGGAGCAAATATAAAGGTTTTACCTTGATGGTTTTCATAATGGTTTCCTTTAGAAAAAATTAAAAATAAGATTAGTTATAATTTAATGAATGATTCTTATTTGTCAGAATAAATCAGAAAATGAATCTGTAAGTTAATATGGAAACTTTGATAGTAGCATTAAAAATAATATTATTGAAACAAATGCTACACTAATCTGGATAATACTTTTGTAAAAATGAAAGCATATGAACATAACCAACAAAGAAAATGAAAGCGGTGAATGTGGTACAAAAGAGGTATTGGCAGATGCTATTTCAAACATCATCATCATCATCACCATGTCATTTTATCGTTTCATGATAAAAAAGGATCTGAGGAGGCAGAGTGATAGTGCCGTGAGAAGTGCATGCATCTACCCTAGGTTTGATTACAGCACCCCAAATGGTTTCCCCCCCTCCCCGATCTAGCATCAGTGATACCTGAACACAGAACCAGAGTAAGCATGGAACAGTACTGGGTGTGGCCCAAAAATCAAAAAAATATTTTTGATAGTTCTATTGATTGTAAATATAATTCACTGAAAACATAATAACCATTGGTATATTTGCCGGTTACTCTTAGTGTACACGTAATGTTTGGGTTTCAAATGAATATAATAAATAAATAGAAACCCTAAATATACTATAATCTTTGAAAAGCAAAGTATAATGATATGTTATTTAACCACTAGGTAATGACAAACACAGATAGAATAATTATCCCCTGCGTTTCTTAGGATGATTTACTTCTATAGGAAACCTCCCTACCTCTTCTTTCCTTGTCAATGTTATAATCATAAAATATGACTAAAGCATGTCTTTCAACATGCTACTTTGCAAGTTGTTTATTATAACTTGTGTGTATAAAGTTCCTATTAATGTCATACCCAGGGCATTCAATGAAAGTCAAAAAAATAAAAAAAGTATAATAGAGAAAGGTGAGCAGGGAGAAAGCTAAAGAGAGAAAGCAAGGCATATAGTTATATTAAAAAGAGGGATGTGCAGGGACACAATGTCACTAATTTGAAAGTATGATAATACTGAATTCCTCAGAAATGCATCCCATCTTTGTCTGCAGTAGAAGTGTACATTAAAACTGTGCATCAAATGTCACAGCGACATTTGTTCCATAATAAAAAACAGAGAGACATGACAGAAATCTACTGTTCTTAACTTAGAAAATTGCCTCAATGCACAATTATCTTACCTCAGGGCTTGAAAGCTTTTCCACATTCTGTAGAAGGGGGAAAAACCAAAAATCAACTGAGTGTTCTACTATACCTTTGGAGAAGGTTACCAACTCATAATTGGATAATTTTCTTTGAATAAAAATATCTTACCTCACTGAATACAATTTCTTCATTCTGTGGAAATAACCACAAAACTTTACTTTCTATGGTGAACTCATTATTAACTTTTACTAACTTCTTTACACAAAGCTATGTATTTCACAATTTGATAAATAAAACATCTTTTTGTTTGACTTTAAACATTTTTATGCCTTTTATTTTTAGTAACTTTTTGTGGATTTTAAGGTTATTTTATTTGAGAAAATAAGAGTTTTCAATATGTAGCAAAAGTATCAAATAATGAATGTGAGTTCTTTTAATTTTTATTTATTAAATTGTAATTTTTGGGCTGAAGCGATAGCACAGCGGGTAGGGCATTTGCCTTGCATGCAGCCAATATGGCCAACCTGAGTTTGATTCTTCCGCCCCTCTTGGAGGGCCTGGCAAGCTACTGAGAGTATCTCGCCCACACGGCAGGGCCTGGCAAGCTCCCTGTGATGTATTCTATATGCCAAAAACAGTAACAACAAGTCTCACGATGGAGACGTTACTGGGCCCACTTGAGCAAATCGATGAGCAACTGGAGGACAGTGACAGTGACAAATTGTAATTTTGTCTGACAAAATGATGTCATCCTCTGGATGACTTTGGAGAGAAAAACATAGGATTTGATACCCAATGCTCAAGGGTAAGAGGAACAAATATTTAATCACCACAATAGTACGTGCAGATTGTATATACTTGTTCCTAATTTAGTTAGTAACGATCAAATAGTACTTGCGTGTGTGTTACTTCTTTCTCATGCTATTGTTTTCTATTTAGAAACCCATAATGAAATAGTGCAGGAACTTTTTGGCCTAAAATTTTGATCCTAAAGGATATTAAAGTAATGTATAAAGGCAAATGATTTTCTGAGATGTAAAGAAAAAAATCTATTGAAATTATTCATTGTTTGTATATTTTAAATGGTGGTGATATATTCTGATAATAAAAAACAACCCACTTATCTCTCATTTAGAGTTTCCTTTGTACTTACCTGCTTTGCAAGGGCAAGAGCCACAAGGCAGGAAAGGATGAGGACCTTCATGATTAGCAAGTCCTGTGTATATAACAATGAGGGAATAGTAATGCATTAATTAGTCTAATTGTCTTAATTCCATGTGGTTTCATCCCTGAAAAGAACCCACAAGTAAAGCACAAGTGGAGAAAGGGCACTGGTGGAGGGAATGGGTATTCGATCATTGTATAACTGAAACCCAAGCACAAAAATTTGTAGGTCTACAACTGTACCTCATGGTGTTTCACTAATAAAAATTAAAAACAAAAAGAAAAAAGTCAAAGTGTCCATTTTAGCAAAAACTATAACAAAAGTTTTATTTTTATGTATTTATTTATTTTTATAATACAGTGAAACCTAATTTTACTGTACTCTTTCTTACGTGACAAGGCTGAGCAGTTAACCCCAGAAAACACATAAGCAAAGCAATCGATTAACTATTAAACTATGTCACGAAGACCTAGGTACTCATTCTTAAGTGTCAAATATCAAATTTGTACTCCACTTCCAAACATGCAAGTAACCATACTACCAAACTTTACTCTTTTTCATAAATTACAATATTATAAGCATTTTTCAAAACTGAAAGAAAATATTTCATATTTGTAGAGATTTCTCCACCTCCGCCACAGTGTCCCTTTGTTGTAAAGTTGTTGATCGGTGGCTGCCCATACTTGGCTGCAGAGTTTGTACTCTGTAGATTGGGTGCTTGTTGAGGGTTGTATAGTTTACTTTGGTTGCAGTACTCACTAGAGATTGCCCCTTTTACTTGTGTAGGCATACAATTGACTGTGGTATCCAGTGACTGTGTACTTGGAGAGTAGGATCTCAAATTACAATGCTATTAGAATAGCACAGTGGTGGGGAAAACTCAGAGACCCAACTTGCAAGACAGATTCTCTAGCACACAGCAAACGGTATCTCCATTGCTAAATTATTGTTCAAAAGCAAACATTTATACAAAAGCAAATATTTTGAATTTTATATTGATAGACACAAGTACAGACTTCAAGCCAGCTTTTCCTTTGAAGTCATCTTTATACCAGCTAAAATTTTCTTAGAAAGTAAAACATTTTCTTTCTTTTTGATCAAATTCTGAATTTCATGTGTCTATTTTGCCGTATTGTAAACTAAATGATAAACTGGGCAGTAGTATGCTTTAAATAAGTTTTACTAGCAAATATAAAGACACGAGTGGATGAAGTATGAATACATAATGAATGCATAATTTTAATATGTTTAGGAATGTTTAAAATGTCCTCAAACAACTTCTGCTATTTCTTGGCTCAACATGAAACCTATCTAAACTACTTGTTGAACAAAAATTCCTCAAAAATTCTTCATATACGTCTTTTTTAAATTAAAATATAAATAACCAATATTTAATTCAAGAAAGTTTTTAATATAGCTTGCTAACTAGCCTTGCACTAAAAATGTAGTAATTATAAATAACTATTTTTCTTTTATTCACAAAGTTTATTCAGTTATTATTACATTTATCAAATATTTTTCTTTGCTTGCTTTTTGGACCACATCCTGTTGTGCTCCTGACTCTGCAAAGAGATAACTTCTGGCAGTTTTTAAGGAGCCATATGTGTTGTGGATCGAATTTTGGTCAGCTGCATGCTGATGACAGTCCTCAAGCTGCAATACCTTACCCATTGTACTATCTCTCTAGCCCAACCTTTATCTAATCTTTACTGGCACTTTGATTTTTTTACCTGAGTGCTGAAAATGTTTTCCATATTCTACTAATACCATATTCCCAAGACTGTATTTTAAGCTTTGTGTTGTATATCTCAACATATCTTACAACAAAGTTGAGACAGAAATGCACTTAACCTACATATGAAATCTTACCTTTTTCCAAGACGAAGGACAAGCAGTGAAGGAAAAGCTAATGGATGGATGGCCTGTTGGCTTTTGTGGCTATTTATATACTGTATTTAATGCCATGCTAATTTTGTGGTTTGAAATGCAGTCAATAGTGAACCTCAATTCCAAGAAGCCCTTATGATTAGAAATTTATTTCTGCCTATAATCTACCCTAGAAATTCTAGGGAACATTTTAACAAGGAACAATTCACAAACTGATAAAAGAATTCTGTCCAGGAAATTCGATTGTCTAATACTACAGGCATTGGCTGGAGGACAGAGACACTGGCCAGACCTCAAGATACCAATCTCACAGTTAGGTCCTTTTTGTGTTGTAAATTCTAAAAATCTTAATTGCAGAGAAATGCTAGGTGGACTCCAGTGATATATAGGGTCTTCACAAAGGCAACAACCTCACACTATGCTGAAAAGTCATCAGTGATCTTTAAAACATCTTAACATACTCTTTGTAGAATGACCTAAAAGAGATAAATAATTCTGGTCCACTGGGCAATAGGAAAACACACTTTTCATTATGATATGGAAAACCGCAAATGAATTAATAGAATGTCCCTACATTATTTTAATTTAGGCCATTTTAATAACCAAGAGGAGAAGCTAAATAAAAACAAAAGAAAAGAGATACTGAGTTAACTTTTATATGTGGTTAATTTATATGTCAGAGGTATCTTGAATTAAATGTGATATTCAAGTAAGAATACAAAAATCCAAGGGATTTATTTTCAGACAAGGAAAAAAATTAACTGATCTAGGGAAAGCATTACAAGTGTGAAGAGAAATAATTTAATAAGGAGCCTGGAGAGACAGTACAGTGGTTAAGGTGCTTCCCTTGCAAATAAGTGGGTGGTCCATGTTTTATCCCCAGCAGCTCATATGATACTTTATGTGATATCCCAAGCCTGCAACGTTATACTTGAGTACTACTAGGTTGTTCCTAAAACCATATAAACAAACAAACAAACAAATAAATAAAAGGGATGATAATTAATCTAAATATAAAGCTTAAGAATACTCTGTTACAGTGACATTGGGATTGGTGTTGGAATATTGAATGCCTGTAACAAATAATCATGAACAACTTTGTAAACCAGGGGTTTAAATAAATGGGGAGAAAAGAAAATAAATAAAAAAGAAAAGCATTCTTGTAAAAATGATTTTCTATGGGGGAGGAATCAAACAAGGTGAAGGAGCTGTGAACCTTCTTGTTTACAGTTTGATTATGAACCTGAACCAAAATATTTTTATGATTAAAAACAAAATAAAATAAATAAAATAATAACTCATACATCCAAAAAGGATACTCTGATAATAAGCAGATGGCAAAGCAAAAGGAAAGAGGAAAATTATAGGATATCAGGAGGAGAGTAGGGGTAATGGAAATGATGGGAGGAAATGGAAAAAAATAGTAGGGTCAAAGAATGAAGATGACAGAGGTAGGAAGTAAGGCTAAAACAGGAAAGATATATTTGGATATATAGATTTATTATCACTGCAATCACTGGAAAAACTTAAAGTGATTAAGAGGTACCCTGTGAGTTTTAAAAGGAATACTACGAGTCTGAGAAATTTAAGAGAGGTAAATAAACAAATTGGATGTTTTTCATTTCAATAAGAACAACAAATTGCATAAGAAATTGGGTTATTTTTCCTTTTGCAGGGTGCAGGAGTGCATATCCAGCAGTGCTTGGGGATTACTTCTGGCTCTGTGTTCAGGAAAAATTCTTGGTGGGGTTCGGGGAGACTTATGTGGTTCTTGGTCAGCCATGTTCAAGGTAAGCACTATGCCTGCTATACTACCATTCCTACCAAGAAGACAGTTTTAGGATAGAGAAGGTTGTTATGTATAGATATTTTACAAAGATGAAATTGTGAGAAAGATTTTAAATACAGCAGAATAGGTGGTATAAACTGATAGAACAAGTAAGATGTCTCTGCCTACGAATATACAGTTAAAAGTATTAGATATCTAATAATGCATCAGTTCTGAGACATAAAAAAGATAAAATGTATACTTATTTTAGAATATAATATAAGAATTTTAATTATATGGGCTTAGTTTTCTTGTCAGAATGACAATGGACTTCTAATTGACATTAAAAAAGTATATAGAAGCTGTAATATTTTAATAGAGAGAAATTGTGGTTGCTAAGACAATTAAAATATTATTTCAAATCCATAGTAACAAGTCCTATATGAAACTAAATACAGTTGGGTTTTTTTTTCTCACAAGCTGTTGTGAGACAGATGGTTGTAGTATAATTATGAATAGTTCTAAAGAATTTGTTGAGGTGGAATAAGGAGGGTAGGATGTATCTGCACTGAAATTACTAACCATGAAGGATTTGTTACTAGAAGGAAGTGAAGACCTAGTTGAATTATAAACTAGAAGATTAAAATGACCTACTTGTTTAGATATCACAAAAAAGTCCCAAAGAGAGGAAGTAATCTCACAATGTTTAAGCTTACTTTTTTTTTATCAAATGGAAATTTTAACTGCACTGTAGCACTGTCCTCCCGTTGTTCATTGATTTGCTCGAGCTGGCCCAGTAACGTCTCCGTTGTGAGACTTTTTGTTACTGTGTTTGGCATATTGAATATGTCACGGGTAGCTTGCCAGGCTTTGCCATACGGGCGAGATACTCTCAGTAGCTTGTCGGGTGCTCCTTTCAATAGTTCAACTGGTAGAGCAGAGGAAATTTCAACATTATAGATAAAATAATTTTTACACAATTATTTGGAATAAGAGACAGTTATGATAGGATGGAGTGATAGTATAATGGGGGGGGGGGGTATTTGCCTTGCATGTGGTCAACCCGGGTTCAATCCCAGGCATCTCATATTACTCCCAAGCACTGCAGGGAGTAATTCCTGAGTGCAAAGTCAGGAATAACCCCTGAGCATTGCCAGGTATGATCCAAAAAGCAAAAACAAAAAAAGAGAAAGAAATTAACAGTCATGCATGTAAAAAGTTGAAAATAGGTAGAAGTGAATTTTATTGAGTAAAGATTTAAATAAATTCAATGTCCAATACTTTGTGTTGACTAGATATTTTTAGTTACCAAAAAGTGAAATGACAAATTAAAAGAGCATCATTCTTATCTTCAATTAGGTTAAAGCTTTTATGTAAAAGATAT